AGTTTTATTTTAACAACCAATTTGGCAGTATTCTTAAGAAGTCGATCAAGAAAGTTTGCATCTAATGTTGCTTAAAGCATCTTTAAAATAAGGGCTACCTTTCTTTATAGTTGACTTATGATATTGGTTTCTAATATTTAAGGAATGCTATTTAGTGATGTTTTCTACAACAGCAAGGTAAAAAGGAAAAGTGATAAACTCAGTATAGAGATGGTCTGATCTATTGTAAAAAATTTTGTGGTTTAATCAGATAATTCCATATGGAGTAGATCGATCATGCGACACATACATGTAGCTTAAGTTTATTAAATATCATTTTACTATAGGTTTTTATTTACTTATGTCTCAGTTCTCTTTTTTTAGATTTTTTGATTTGATAATTTGTCTACTTTTAGTCAATATTATCCAAAAAATAAATGACAGACACCATGTATGATTTTTCTTGATTGAGAATCCCAAATATGCAAATTTTCGATGTTGTCGTTTTGATTAATGTTGTTAGTATAAAATGTTTGTAGATTAATTTTCTTGCACTTGTGGTCTACTGTCTGTGTACCCTTTACATCATTTTTAGCTTGCAAGTGGCATTAATGGTCATTTTTTGCTAGCAATAAAGATTCCCTGAGTGTTTTTAGTCAAATGGCAGGTGTGTAATATATTCCTTTCGACAGTGATTGATCAGACGCACATTGTTTTTCCAAACAATTAGAAACAGTGGAAATCTTGTGAACGTCACCTGTATGAACTTAAATTTTCAAAGTGTTATGTCTTTATTCGTTTAAGTGAACCAACCTTATCGAAATTTAAACTGTATACGTAATTTCCATAAACGCTGTTTATGTTGCCTGTTTGTATGGTGGTAATTCCAACAAAAATGTCTCATTATCAATTTTTCTGAAACCTAAACAACTTGTCAATTAGACGTAACTGAAGGTTTAAGTTTGGCCCTCATAATTTTGTTTATTATGTCCTTTAAAAAAAACTTGATAAAAGAAATGTTTGTCAGCTTACTATTAGTAAGCTTTTACTAAAGCTTTTCTTCCTAGTTTCATAATTCTTGAATAATACTTAAATACATGTATACATAAAGATTTCTTGATAAATTGTTTGTAGGTTATCTACATTTTTTTCTTAGCCTGTTCAAACAAAACAAATTTTTGCTGTCTTAGTCCATTTGGTTAGTTTTAATCTGTAAAAATAACTCATTACCCTACAGTTACATGTATCTTTTAAGCAGATTTTCTTGTGTGCGTAATCACATTTCTTTTATTTGCATCTCAAATGTTTTTCTTAGATTTGATGCTAATCAGAAAATTTTCAAATGTGTTAATATTTTTAAAGAACCACATGTTTCATCCCACCCATGATGTCTTCCATTTGTTTTGTTTTGATTTAAAAAGTTGACTTCCTGCTGAGCATCATTGTGCGTGGCTCAAATCAAAATGATCTTATTCCTTTCAACTGCTTGGATTTGACCAATTGGTTGCAACCATTCTCTGCAGTCCAATAAATTTGATTCTTCTGCGATGATTTCAGCCCAGTAGGGCGCTGTGCGCATTTCAGCTGTAAACTTTTGTTGATTTTTCAGTGTGTTTAGGATACCCTTTAATAGAATAAATAATGTATCACAAACAGCCTCGGTGAAACAATGAACTTTACCTTGGATAAGGGAACGATCTACAGTGCTCTGTTTGGACTTTCCAAATAAATGAACCAAAACTTAATACGATTATTAAAAAGAAACACCATCCTTTTATTCATATCCTAAGGTAAGAACTACATTTACTTGAATTTTTTCATTCTCTTTTTCTTTGATCAGCTAAGAGAAGGTAGCTGGAAACTAGAGAACAAACAATGCATTTTCCAGTTGATGTTGTATGCATTTTATATTGTATGTCTGTGTTTGACTTGTATATCTTTCTTTGCATGCCATGGAAGTAATATTTGACATGTTTAAACTTCACTGTGTAGTCAACAAAAACAAAATCAGTTCATTTTGTATTTGACTCCTACAGCAAAGAATCAAAGTTTAACTTCCAAGTAATTTGCCAACTTCACTCGATCAAAATTTGGTTATAATTCTAGCTGTGACAGCAGTTAATGCTTTGTTTGTTAATCCCATCCAAGCAATTAATAACATGATCTTCAAGGTATCTCTGAGAGTCTCTTGTTTGTTAACTCACACTGCTATAATGACAGTGCCTCTAATTTATGATTTTTTGAGGGAGATTGATTATATTGAATATGTGTGTAAAGGGTTTGCAGAGCTCAGGGTAAAATTATTTTTTAACTTAGACATAATTTATGCTTTTTGATTGTTTGACTTGAATTTTTTTACAATTTGCTCATGAATTTAGTCTCATACACAGTGATTTTGTTACAAATGGTTATGGTTAACCCTGAGTCCCAGTCCAGAACCACTGAGTCCCAATTCAAAAACGCGAGTCCCTGGGTCTTTATGTAACCACACGGTTAATCTGAAGACAGACTCCAAAACACTGTATCGCACACAGTTACCGAAATAAAAATATACTCCTTCTATTGTCAAGTACAAAAAAGACTAAAAGAAATATGCATCATTAAATAACAGTCACAAGAACAGTAACAGAAATCACACAAACAGGATCTATTCTTCAAAAACATCTTCAGATCGATCAATCAATCTTTGCATCTTACGGGACGCATGCACCACAGATTATTTTGCTTTTTTAGGGATTTTATGCATAAGGTATGCAGGATGCAGAGGTAACAGAATCACTGCATATATGTATGTTGCAAAACCAATCTCCGAAGTAAACAGTTTTGATGCACATTGTGTACTTGCATCTACCTATTCAAAGAGATTTATCAGTACATTCTCCTTACAAAATCAAGTAACAGCTAAACTGAAGAATACAAGTTACATTTAGTCTCCCTACAAAAAGGGCCAGCTTATTTGCACCCACTGCCCTGCCAAATGAGTCACCAAGTAATTTTAGTAGGCTGTCTTATCCATTGATGATCAAAAGATTCAACAAGTGTATGTAGAGTTTGAAGCTATCTATTGCTAGCCAGACAAGCTCTACCAATACCAGTAACTTCACAATTTGACAATATCTGGCACTATGTTGCTACTGTACACACAGTGATGATAATGGTGGTAGTTTTGGTGTTACCAATGGTAATGGCTATGTTGATGGCGATGGCAGTGATGATAATGCTGGCAGCAGCGGCGATTATGATGGTAATGATAATATTATGATAATGGTGATGATAGTGGTGGTAGTGTTGGTGTTACCAATGGTAATGGCTATATTGATGGTGATAGCAGTGATGATAATGGTGTAGGGTGCAAGTTGAAGCTAACATTTACTAGCCCAAATATCATTTCAACTAGCCCAAAAAACGTTTTGTTGAGCAGATTGATTTCACAGTTCTTCTGTAATTTGAATTCCTCAAAAAAATCCACTTGCCCGCCAGGCAAGTTAATAACAGAATTCACTGGCCCGATAGCAAAATCCACTAGCCCCGGGCTATCGGACACTACTTTCTTGTTGATGCTGATAGCAGTGATGATCATAGTGGTAGTGGCGATAATGACAGCAATGACAATGTTATGATAATTTTGATGCTGGTGGTGGTAGTGTTGGTGTTACCAATGGTAATGGCTATGTTGATGATGATGAAGGTGATGATGAAGATGACCATGGTGATGATGCTGACAGTGTCGATGATGATGATATTAATGATGGAATCGTGATGATAATGATGATGGTAATTATCCCTAGCTAAAACCTTGAAGGAGCTATGTCACGAGGATATCACTGTTTTAGGTCAATTTTGTGTTGACGTCGTTACCTAGTGCCTTTATCCACCCGCAAAATGAACCCAGAGAGTTGTAAATAGAGAAGATAACAAAGAAATTTCATAGAAGAGCAAAAGCCCTAATTTTTTTGGTGATTTCTGTTGGTATAGCATAATTTTTCCAAGTTTTAATCCATGTCCATCCTTGCCATTCATTGCAACAGACGACAGGAAACAGTTTGAAGTCCTTTGTGTTAACCCTTTAAGCTCCAAGATCCACATACAAATTCTCCAGACTGATCCCCATACATTTCTTTTAAGAATAGTTGGGAGAATTTGGTTTAAGATCAAAGCATTCTCCCTGTGGTAATCAATCTAGTAATTCTCATAACCTTTACTCTTGATGATCTGCTGATGTTTTTAGGAGAAAATTGATGTTGGTCACTCTTGGGACCTAAAGGGTTAAGTAACAAAACAGGACCATTATATTTGGAATTTAATTGATGCAAAGACACATTTTAGCCTTCTAAAAAGATTGCAAATAGCGCTACGTGGTCCCTTTAATGACATTCGTCCTTAGGGTCGAACAGCCTGCTTTCATAAATTATACACTCCGTAAAGACAATCAACATCGAATTTGATGGTACAGAAAATTCACGTCATGTTTGATATTCTGTTTTTATTTCTGAAGTTTGTTGTTTTAACATTGTTATAATTTATGACAATTAAAACATAAATATGGTCAAAGATGATGATGAATATCAGTGAGGCCTAAGGCGAGGTAAAGTAAAATAGTCGCTTTTTATAAAGTTACATTACACTGAGCCCGAGGCGTATAATTGTTTAAGCATTAATAGAATTTTTTATTTAAATGACAGTCCACGCCGATGGATCAAAGTTTCAGCTCCGTTTTACGGCCTGAATAATCTGCACGCGAACTGCCTTATTTGTATTTTTTTTTCTAAATCCGACGGCCGATATAATACTAACTTTTCAATACACATTAAAAAATAAAACCGGACAATACGGAAAGAAGAAGAAGAAAAAAGAAAGAATCAAGTAGGGACCTTCACGACGATATTCTTAACTTGACTTGACTTAACTTGAGTGGGGCTACTAAAAAAACAAGTTTATCGAGGGTTATTGCATTTTACGTATTTCTAGTTTATTTAGCTGGCAGAGGAGTCGTCCAAAAAGTCACATTTCGGGTAAACAATCTGACATTTGCAAGTTTAGAGGCAGGGTTTATATTTATTAGCTCACGCGATGAAGATAAATAGTACAGAAATTATGAAAATTTATAGTTTTACGTCGCATGAAGATTGATTCGCTGAATATTTATAGTTTGTCCGCGGAAGGAAGATCAGAACAAAGACAGAGTGTTCCTCAAACTGCACAGAACTCGCCTTTCAATTAACTACACTTTTTTGGTTCATTGTCGACGGTGCATTGTTTAGGATTAACTTCAAGCTGACTTGTTTTGGTGAGAAGTTTTTCAGGTGATGCATGTGGAAGCCGTTTTTATTATTTTTCATTCTAGAAGTGATTTTTATTTGTCAGTTGAGTTTAATATCTTTCCTACTTTTTTAACCGACTCACTCGCTCAGAGTGAACGACGGAGGCTTGTCAGTTGGCTTGTAAGTAACTTTTGAGTCTGTGGATGAAAAACTATGGTGTGACCATTCAAGTGAAATGTCTTTTGGCGTTAGTTCCACTCGGTACTATTTATTTAGTATGTAGTTTTAACTTTTGAGTCTGTGGATGAAATCGTATGGTGTTACCATTCAAATGAAACCTCTTCAGCAGTACTCTCACATGGTACTATTTATTTAGTATGTAGTTTTAACTTTTGAGTCTGTGGATGAAATCCTATGGTGTTACCATTCAAATGAAACCCCTTGGGTAATACGTTTACTTACTACTATTTATTTTTCAATATTTTGCAAGGTGAAATTCGGAAAATTTGCGGAAGTTTGACGAGTGAGGTTATTGAGTTTCCTGTCGATGGTTTTAGGTAGTTCCTTCCGAAGCCGAACGTCGAACTTTTCATTGGACAAACTAAACTCTAATTTGGGTCGACCTAAATTAAGTTAAGATCGTCTGTTTGGTCAAACGTCGAACAGGGATGCGTCGAAGCAATCAACTGAATCAGACCAAAAAGCAATTTTAGCCGAACGAGGCTAGATATACATTATCATACAAATTTTTTATTTATTAGTTTAGCTCGTTGCGTGTGAAGATCAATGTTTGTCCTGGAGACGATCTTCTGACGTTCTGTCTGTCTGAAGCAAACGGATAGAACGTGTTGGACGATCCAAACTCATCCTGAAGAACTTAACTGAGTCAGACGTCGCAAGTTTAGTTTGTGTCATGAAAAGTTCGACGTTTGGCCTAGGCTTAAAAGAAGAGGTTATATCGCTCAGTCATCTAGCACGTGGGATTAATGTAGACGGTGGGGAGGGGGTGGTGGGTGGGGTACTGTTCGTCGGAAGATTTCGAAACAACCCTGAAAGGTACCAGCATACCGTTTTGTTGGCTTATCCCAAGTACATTTTAACATCTAGCAGGTACTAAATATCAGTTGAGTAGCTAAAACTTCCCGTCCTTTTTCCGCTCAATGCGCTAAAAGGCCTTTAAAGTTCGTTTTAGATTTATCTCTTTAAGCCTCAATATCAACATACAAATTCTCCAGACGTTCTCGGTTCATTTCCCTAAAGAATCAGCTGGAAGAATTTGATAAAAGATCAAACACTTTCCCTTTGGTGATCATTGTGTTCACCCTCATAAGCTTTTCGCTTGATAATTATTCTTATTGTTAGGAGAAAATCGGTGTTAGTCACTCTTGAGACAGCACCTTAAGCGCGCGTGTACCAACTCACAAATTTTAAGGCCCGAATACTTTCCTCTGGGACTCGTAGATAAATTTTAAAGGTGCTTGCTTTCTGTTGCAACCTCTTTTTAACTCCATAGATAGATAAATATTTAAAATCGAGGAATATGCCAAATTTTGGATTCGTAACTACTGAAAAATATTTAATAATACAATTTGAGGGATTTCTTCTTCAACCTTTTTTCTTGAAGACAAATTTATAACGCGGTTGTCATGTCACTTCAACTTTTAAATCTATGGCCTAGTCATTAAATTTTAAGGTGAAACCATTCAAATGTAAACACTTACGCAAATTTTTGCATATAACTATTTATAATTATTGCTTAGGATTTAAAACAAGAAGAAATTTGAAACCTTTGGGACAATTTTTCTTTCGTTGATTTTAGGAGCGATCGTCACAAGATTTTGTCTAACTCAATAGTTTCAACAACCTATCTCCATAATTTGACTATGTAGTAAAATTGCTGTATCCTACGCTTAGAAGCTACCTTCATGTCAAATTTCTTTTGTAATCTAAATGAAAAATACACTAGTCTATTATTTTGTTTCCGTGTCAAGAAGGAATTTGTCGTATTTTTTCATGTACACGTCCAAAGAAAACTTGCCTTTGAAAATGCGAGTTGTTCGAATTTTCCTTGCGTGAGAAAATGCTATCTGTTTTCTTTAAATTGACAGAACACGTAAGAACTCTTTTAAGTGTTTTTCGTTCAATGACGAGACAAGTTTTGGCAGCTCCAAGGCTATCATCGGTCAAAAGTGACAGTTATAAGGCGATATTATAATTTAAATGATAACAATTACAAAAGACCATATGCAAAGAGTTAAGTGGTAAGATTTTCTGGTCTATTTACGAAATTGATACTTCAGTGGCGCGAGTTACTGGCCAATTTGGCGCCAATTTTTTGTTGATAATGTTTACGATTTGAGCAATTTCATTCGTAACACATGTGCACCTTTTTACCTGGTTGATAAAGTAAATTGGCCATCGTAAAAGCATTCGTAAGCTGACGTTTTGAGGGCAAGGTCTTTGTCACAGCGAATCCTCTCAACCCAGTTGATAATATCAAGTTTTCTAGCTATAACTTCCCACGACGCATATTCACAGTTTCTTTTACAAACTAAGCCCTTTCAGGGTGGATTTCCACTGTCGCGTTATTCTAAAGTGCGTACGCGCGTAAAAAAAATAGAGGCAGTGTATGAAAGGTCGCGCGTAAATGTATCAGTTAAACTTCGCTCAACTATTTCGTTTACGCGTGACACTTTTTAGATTGCCTCTATTTTATTTTATTTAATGGCGAAAAATTTAAGTACGTTCACACGTTAAAAATCACGCGACAATGGAAACCCACCTTTATTGCTGTATTCTAAACGTGTTTCCAGTTTTAAAGTATACAAGTGTGCAACGCCGTTTTCCATACACTGTAATGATATGACAGGAGTTTGTCCAGCCGAAAATCAAGGGCACGTTGGTGATAATTTTCCCTATTCTCGTGATATCCACGTTTGCATAGGCTGTGATATCTTAAGGAGAAATCAGATACCCAGTGTCACAGTTTAGCTGAGATATTGCTAAAGTGAAAAGCAGCTTGCAAATTTTGGGGGCCCCGAATGTTTCCCGCTCGCTAAGTCTTATTTTCTGTTACATGGCAGCCTTAAATTCTTGCGTACTCATCGAGTTGTGCGTGATACAAATTTCTTGTTCATTTCTAAATTCTATTTAAATTTTCACCCACCTCTCTGAAGGAGTGTTTTCCCTTGTAAACTGAACTTTGCTTAAGCCTAAATCTGCACCTATATTTACATTTCAGCCACGTCACTGGGAACGCCTTGAAAAGCCGATTTAGAGGCCAAAATTTATAAACTTCGTCTAGGACTTATTTATCGCAGTTTCCATCCTTCCGGTCTAGTTCTCGTGGTTAAAAAAGTTTTAGGTGAAATTTTCCGAGTTTTACCCTTTTTTTAAACGGATAGTTTTTCTTAGAGGGTTAGCGTGACACACTGAGGTGAGACGCATTTTGCAATATTGAGTGCATTAACCCTTACCAATACTGAATGTAATTCTGTGCATGGTAATCAAAGTGCTCTGCCTTTGCGCGACGCTAGCACGCGTTTGTGATCGTTGAACTACCCGGCTGAGGTTTTTATACCCAAGCATTGCATTACACTTGTCTTTTTCCACACTCAGTTTCATGGAGGGTCCTGGGAATCTAGATTCAGCTTCGAGCGATCTAGCAGACGTTTTTATGGATTTTACGCTATCCAAAAACGAGCCAGATGACCGCGACAAAAACGAGTCTTTCGCCCCGTGCAAGTTCTCACGCAAATCGTCTTCGTCGTCGTCGTCTTCCTTGTCGGAGGCGGCAAAACCGCGTATGTCTGTGGAAAGTGAGGAGAGCGACAGCGGCGTGGGGTCGAACCATTCTTCTACTACTGAGTGTGTTGTGTGCAACGACAAGGCGACTGGCTACCATTATGGCGTGTTCACGTGCGAGGGATGTAAAGGATTCTTCAAGCGTACAGTACAGAAGCAGTTGGAGTATACTTGCAAGGGAGACGGAAACTGCGAGGTGAATCAAATCAACAGAAATCGATGCCAATACTGCCGCTTTCAGAAGTGTGTGGCTCAGGGAATGCTGAAAGAAGGTCAGTGTATTTTTCATTGACTACAGTCAAACTCCGCTTAATATGGACATTATCACGGACAGTTTGCTCTGTCTCTGGTGAAAGAAAGCCCTTACATTTGCTCTAAATTCAATCCCGCTTAATACGGACACGCTGTTAATGCAGACACTTTCTATGACCCCATCAGTGTCCGTATTTACGGGATTTGACTATATTTGCGCAGTCTTTGTCGCTGTTTAATTCAAGTGGAAACATGCGTGGAGTAAGCTTTTTCAGGCCACGCGGTGATTTCGGACGTTTTCCCGCCAGTGGATCACGCATGTGGCCCCACATGTGGAGAAACGGTCGGAAAAAAAAACAGGGAAGTTTGTGCTTGGTCAGTGTAGCGGAAGTTTTTGCTTGTTAGTTTTTGCGTTGTAATAGGGGCATTGTGATTGTGTTTTTAATCTTCTGGTGTATGTCATTAGATAATCACAAAATCCTCAGCTACAAGAAACCCCTGCTTGAACTGTTTGTTTTCATTTCTGAAGTTGAGAGATTCTATTTTAATATTTACTTGGGAAAGACAGTTTTTTCAATTTTTTACAAACCTCACTCGCGGATTCCTTATTGGTTAAGAGACAAAAAAAATTCAGTTTTTTGGTTCGGCTGGTCAAGAAGTCGGTAATATTACGTGAAAAGCGAGGAAATTTTGTCATAAATGACGTGTTTCTGGTTTAAAGGCTGTCCAAGAGAGTATTTTTGACGATGATGTATTCATTATTTTCACGTCTTAAGCGGATTTTTACGATGGTTATGTAATCAAAACACGTGGAGAGCTAGACAGCATGAGGCTATGCACATGTATGCTAACGAAGGAAGTTTTTACAGCAGATTTTGTTTTCGTAAATTAGAACTTCAATCAAGTTTTTCACTTTATATGGGAATGGCAACGAACGATTTTACCAACAACAAACCGATTTTGTGACTTAATTTAATAATTAGAACATGGCCTCAAATTTTATTCGAACAACTGATTATTTACTCATCTTATTTATCGAAGTTCAACTGTATACACTTTGCCCGAGGGATGATGCAACAAGCGGCCGCACCAACTGACGTATAATTTCAAGTTTCGACCGGACGATTGCCCCATGGCTCTAAATTTTTGCGGATTCTAATTTTTAGGGGGTTTGAGGTATTTTCCACGACCCTCATACAAAAGACAAAAATTTTGAGCGCGAAAATTTTCTTCATGATCGAAAGTGGCACAGAAAATGACTCGATAACCGCCGTGAATCAATCAACTACAAACTAGAGAGATTAAAGTTGTTTACCATTTAATAATTTGGCAAATCAGTCGGTTCACAGTCAGTTTCACGGATTAGGCAAATAGGAAGAAAAATTCAGGACTGGTAAATTTCGGGGGCACCCAACGAGAATATAGTTCAAAACCACTTAAATATAGTATTGTTAAACGTATTTTCGTATTTAAACGGTAGATATAGACATATTTGTATCCCCTAAAAATTTTTCATCTGTTTGGATTTCCTTGCTGAAAGTCTAGTGATTTCAGCCAGAAAAAAGGCTGCCGAAAATTCTAGGTCACCTTTTTAGGGTAAAAATCCGTTAAAAATGGGCAATTATACCATTTTTTAGATGTTCGAAAATTCTTAGGAGAGGCAGAGAAGCAAGAAATTCGACAACAAATGTTCCGAAAATTCTAGATCTTAAATCGTCTTCCGAACAGATATTTTCCGAAAATTGACGTCTGGTGCCCCTGAAATTTCATTCCGGAATCGTGTTTACCATTTACAGAAATGCACAAGTTCCTTTTACCGAAAAACGGCTGCGAAAGCCTGAAACTGGCATTAAAGATGGATTTTAACAAATGGAACAGGAATTTCTGTTTGAAACATTTCGTCCTGAAAAACCTGACTTCCTTTTCAAATGTTCTGTTTCTCCCGGAAATTTTCCACTGAAACGACACGGGAAGCCGTGTTCCGTTTACCTTTCAACCGCATTTTTCCGGAAACCTTTAGTAAATGGTTAACGAGCTTAGAATCACGTTTACGGTAAGCAGCAAACGTGAAATTTAAGTTTTACAATTTCTAAAATTAGGAAATAAGCAGATAAAACTGTCCGAAATAATTTAACCTGACATTCAGCTGATTCATTTTTGTCTACGCATAATGGGCAGTAAACGACGACGTTACTGCCAGGGGAAACTTTGTTACGTTGTACAAATTGACGTTTGTCGTTTGCGGTAAACATTTGTGACGTCAAGAGAGAGAAGAAGTGTGACGTCACGTTACCATGGTAGCAAAATTTTTGGATGACAACCAAAGGGAGCTTAGGCAACAACAGCAACGAGAACGGCAAAGAGCAGATAAGTTTGTATTAGTAAAACAACTACTCTGCACGTGCATCACGCTTTTTGCACATTTTTCAGCCATCGTTGCACTGCGACATGAAACTTCCTAATTTACAGAGTAGGTGAATACAACTCAAAAAGTAATTTTCTCTTTTTTTTGGGTTCGATGATGACAATTTTAGCGTCTTTGTACCAATGCCAGGGGAAAGGTGTAGGTATCGTTGCCTAGGAAAAAGCTGTGACGGTAGCCTGCAGAGAAGGCGTTATTTTTCCGCGTTTTTCAGGCGAGCAAGAGCGAGGTAAATCTTCCTTCCGTCGCGAGTCACTCGCGCTCCGCGCCCGCACACGTTCGTCTCGCGCGAGCCCTCGCTCGCCTGAAAAATGCAAAAATAAATAAATAAATAACGGGGGTGGGGGGATGAGAAAGGAGCGCTGACGTTTTCTCGCCTCCCCGGTCCGACCTGAGAGCTTGCTCCAAGGGTATCGGCATCGTACCCGTAGGAATATATCGCGAGGGAAGTGTAATAGTGCGACTTCGGACCTTGGGGGACTCCCAGTCTTGCCATGGGGTGTAAATTGCAGATTTTAGTCTCACTTAAGGTGTTCAGAAAAGAAAGCCGGTAATTCACAGCATTGTTCTTCCCTGGGTATTTTTAGGTGTCAATTACCTTGTTAATCCTTGTAGATCAATTCCTTGATCTTCTCACTTCGTTCCTTTACAGCTGTGCGAGAGGATCGGACTCCAGGGGGAAGACATCGGCATAAATCGCTTCAAGATCATCGCCCTAAAAAGCAACGTGCCCGGGAAGAACCCACCACAAACGGGACCGTCGTAGATGGAGATGACCATACCGACAGCTCTGCCGGTAGACAGCCAGACACGCCGGTCAATCAGCAGGAAGTCATGGCGTTCATTGATAAGATTCGCGAGCGGGCGACTGATATGCCTGATATAGCCGGTCATACGGTGAAGGGGGAAGATGGGAAGTCTCAAGACGTGAAGAAGCTGATGCAGTTGGCGTATCAAGAACTCTACCAGGTGATCCAATGGGCCAAAGATGTGCCCGGCTTCAAGGATGTCGAGTTAGAGGACCAAGTTACCCTGATCAAGGCTTGCTTCATGGATCTTATTGTTTTCCGCCTCGCGTACAGGTCCGTGCCGTGCGATCCAATGTCACTAAGGTTTGGTCAGAACCTCATCCTGGAGAAACACGAGGTTACCGATTTTGGCTGGACGGAAGACCTTGTTGATACCAACCTCGAGTTCACTGACAAGCTGCGCAGTTTGAACCTGGACCCGAATGAATTTGCGTGTATGTGCGCCCTTGTTCTTCTGTGTCCAGGTATGTAAGTTATCTTGAGGTATTAGATCTGTTATAAACCGGTTCGTTTCAAAAATTTGTTTCTCAAATAATAGAATTCCCGAAAATAAAAATTACACCAGGCTATCAGGCTATCTACTGCGCACTAATTTGCTCTATACTAGAGTGCGCCTCCGCTACCTTTGCTGACTTACCTAAGTATCTTGCTTGGTATCTTGAGAACCTGCAAAAAGGGGCCTTCCCATCATTTGGCCTGGTATTTCGTATGAAACAGCACTTGACAAAGCTACATTATCCACTCTTTCTGACCGTCGGGCAGTCTCGTGTATTAAATTTGTAGGTAAGGTTCGGCCAGGTAACCCGTTATACCCCCTAATGCACAACAGAGTGGTACTTATGTCTACCGGTGTGTGTCTAAGATCAGGGAGTTCTAGCAGGCCCTTGGCCACAAGGACTGAACGTTTCTCAAATTTTGTTAGTGTTAAATATCAATCTTGTCAATAAATGTAGCGTATTAGTATATATTTAAGCAATAGAAAACGTTTTCCGTGTTTGCATAGCCTGATATAAACACGAGAGGGGTTGGGAGAATTCGAGACGGCAGTTATGCAAACCCGAGACGAAGTCGAGGGTTTGCATAACTGTCGAGAATTCTCCCAACGCCTCGAGTGTTTATATCAGGCTATGCAAACACAGGAAAAAAGTTTCTATCGCTTTTATAAAATAACTTTCCCGAGAAAAAAACGCAAAACTCTTTGTATGGCACTAATTAAAAGAGAAATTCTTACCAGTCGCAAATCTTGTCCACGAAGTCTTGCACGCGTAATCAGTTCTTGTTTTGCAAAAAGATGCTTTGCAAAATACGGACTTTCTCGCTTAAAATGTCAGCATAAGCGAAGAAAAATTGACACACATTCTTTCAGCCGACGAAGGAATAGGTAAATAAAGTAAACTTTTTGAGTTTTGAACTCGAAAACTTTTTCAAATTCGTGCTTGCGTGATTAACGCGCGAAAAGCCAAACAACTTGACGCCACAACCATGTTTACATACTCTCATGCAAACACTCCTCTCGGCCAATCAGAGCGCGCGTACTATCTTAGTTATTTTATAAATCACAGCTTGTAAGGTATCCTACAATTCAGTCTTCTGACTGCAAAAGGGACAATAAACATTTGATTTGATTTGATCAAGCGACACTTGAGCTATCAATTTTCACAGGCACAAAAAAGTCAAGAATTGCATATTTCTGGCGTTCACTCGAAAACTACGAATAAAAAAGATTGGAACTGAATTATACTTAGATTGTTAATTTGTCTTTAAATTCCCGGCATTGTTGGTCAATTCTTCCATGCGATATAGAGGTGGATTTTTTTGTGTAATTCCCTTTAACTTGAGGCGATCGCCAGAATTCCAAAGTTATTCCTTAGCACTGCATTGCGCGTCCTCACTGCGCATAATTTTACGCGAGGTTAGCGTGCGCACGTTAAAACATGATGTAAAGATTCATTTTCTCTTAAACAAGTGTGGTGGCCTATGGTTTTTTCTCTTTTTCCAAAAGTGGCAGTAGTAACTTACTTTCCGTAAATTATATATAGACTATTTTCCAGTGCAGGAAAAGAAACAACCGTCAGAAACGTGTTCAAAGTATGTATTCGTAAATATATTCATATTGGTATTTTAAGGAATCACTGCGTTTATACAAGTTGCTCCTGCTCCTAAGCGAGTATGTTGACCCCCAATTTTATTTCAAAATTAACGTTTCTATAGCGTAAACAACCCTTCGGTAAAGTTTGACAAAAAAAACACGGCAGGTTCTATTTCAGAGTAATGACCTTAATATGACATTTTCGAACGATTTTCAATTATTTTGGCCTGTGCAGGGGCTGCTTGAAAGGGAAAAGGGAAGTGCATTTCTACTCGCGTGGAATCGAAGCGCATGGCTTCGACGTTCACATTAGAGAGATTAGGGACCTTTAGCATCAGGTTTTTCGGGGGAAACGGCAAACCGCAAACCGCAAAATGTCACGTGACCGCGTCCTTGCGGTCACGTTTGCAGTTTGCAGTTCACGTTTGAACCGCAGGAAGGGCTTCCAGCGGTAAGCTATTTACGGCAAGGTTTTTTGCCACAAAAAATGGTACAGCCTCGCGTTTAAAGGTATGAACTAGCTTTTTGTATCCGTTTGCGATGTGTTTGTTGGATTTTTGATCTCGAATCAATGAATTATTGCTGATTTTTGGGCGATTAAAGTGATGCACTTCGACTTGATGAAAACAACATGGCGGCCATAAACAATGAACGCGTAGTTCAAGTCAATTTTATATTCCTTTCTGCCGTACTAACAATGGAACGTATTCTGTTCCAATCCAGAGTTAAATTTTTTTTTTTCTATCTTGTTACTAAATTCATAACTTAACTCAGTCTCTGTCTGGTTCCTTTTTTTAACGTACCCGCATATCACTCCGCGAATATCATTTTATTTTGCTTATTTCCTTTAGACTGGGGAGCTCAGGCTTCATAAAGCCTTCTGGTTTCTTCTGGGTTCCCTTGCAACCTTACAATTCCTATATGTGTTCTTGTATTGTATTGTATTTTGCCTAAATAAAAGTGAACTGAACTGAACTGAACAAATCGAACTGAACGCCTTGCTAAAGTTTGAAATCTCGGCAACGCGAAACTGCAAACGCGTAACTGCGGTTTGCGGTTTAAGGTTTGCGGTTTACCTGATGCTAAAGGTCTCTATTAAGCATCGCGTTTACGGCAAACGGCAAACGGCAAACGCGAGATTCAAGTTGAGAAATTTTCAAAATGAGAAATGAGCAGTTAAAACAGCTTAAAACAATTCTTATGGATAGAGTTGGGGTGAATCTACCGAATTTTGTGTACTTTTAATGAACAGTAAACGACAAGGGGAAACTTAGTCACGTGGTAAGAGTTAACGTTTGCCGTTTGCCGTAAATGAAGCTGGTTCACGCGTGCGCACTACGTAGTATTGAGAAAATCTCGTTCTCGAAGTCATCCTCGTCTCAGAATCTCAAGATCTCTAATAATTAGGATCAACCTTATCTTCGTGCGCAGATACTCCCGGTCTTAAGAACAAAGAGAAGGTGACACAGCTTCAGTCCAAAGTAAACAGCCACTTGCGTGACTACTGCGTGTCACTCTACCCACAGAAAACGAACCGGCTTGGTAAGCTGCTGCTTTGTCTGCCAACGCTTCGCTTGTTTAGCGAAAAGGCCATGGAGAACTATGTAGCCCTAGAATTTTTCGGCAAGTTGGATATGCCTCCTTTGGTGGCGGAGCTCTTAGAGTAAGGTTAGCGTGACGGGGTGACAATTTACTACGCGTCTTATGCCTTCAAGAACTGAAGATCAGATGCTGAGACGAGAGATTCTTGCAGTCTTGACTGGAACACATTCGTTGCGCTCGCAACCACACTAACGGTCATCGTTGTAAGTATTATATCCGTCAAGTTTTATAGCTCACTTTAGAAAAGAGTAATAGCCTGGGACCCAGACTAAGCGCGCACACATTTATGGGATTGTTTGGGAGGACAGTTCGAGCCGCCACCTTGAATTATGACGAGACATGCAAGTTGTTGTGGGAACTTGTGCACAAATAACTTCAGGAACTTCCCTGGTCTGGCATTTTATAGAATGTCAAAGGCAAAACGTATCTAGCGAGAATATGTACGTTTGCTTGGGAACGCTAATTTGAAGTTGAACTCGGATAGCACATGGATTTGCGTTCTTCTGGTTTTTCTCGAAGTAAAATCGCCCCAGGCACATCTTCCCTCAGCTTCAGAATTTCATGTTGTTTCTTTCAATTCCACCTTCCGTTTTGCTATTTTGAGCTGTTTTAACCCCGCTGGAACATTCCACTTCGCTTCCTCCATGTTTGTTTACATTCACGTCCCCCCAAATATTCCAATAAACGCACACGCGCCTAGTTTGGGTCCTAGGCTATCACTCTTTTCAAAAGAGAGCTATGGAGGGATTGCTCCTTTTTTATTTTTATTTTTTCTGTATCATTGAAGGTGCACTATAAAAAACTTGAGGGTCTCCTCCACTGTCTTGATAGCTAGAATCACATGACGGGTTATATATTTATATTTGATCTAAACGACAGGGCCTGGTAAAATGCCAGTCCAAGAACAGAGAGATTTTTCGAGATTCATCTCTGTAACGCATTGTCCGACCCAACAAACGTAAAAAGGAATATGAAGTAGAATGTGATTGAGGATTTAAAAGAATGAGTTATAGTCGGTAGTGAGAATGTCCACAGTGACTATAAACAAGTTAAATAAAGTTATAATGCCAAGACCCTTGTTACATGAAAGAGAAAAAAACTATCGTAGTCCGGCGTTGGTAGTCAAAGATCCTCCACTCATAGTGCGTCTTCATGTTAAGAGCTCTCCCGAGACATAGTAGTCACTAAAAAACACAGAATTAATGCCAGTAAAACTGGAAATTTTACCTACGTTAATGCTTTACCGTCAAGTCCTGCGAGTAACGACCTCTTCCCTGTAGTCCTTGGGAAAGGTCTTCATTTGGGGGAGTCGCAAGAAGTCAGGCGAGAGCCACACGTGAAAGGAGCTTCATTTTTTCTAAGCTTCTTCCCGACAACGGTGTTACAAATAGGCCCTTTGCAGCTAGACATTCACGTGGTACAAAACCGCCATGTTGGAGAGCAAAAGTCACACTGCGACAAGACGAACAAAGGAAATTATTATTTAAAATTATGTTTGCCTTTTGTTTGTCCTGTCGCAGTGCGGCGTTTACTTTCCAGCATGGCGGTTTTGTTCCACGTGAATGGCTAGCTGCAGCGAGCCTATTGACAACTTCGAAATAAATTCTGAAGGTAGCGATCTTTTCCCCTCCTTTCCCCTTAACAAGTAGAACGTCACGTGGTACAAAAACCGTGGCAAGAAAAAAAAAAAAAAGGACAAAAAGGGAAATCGCCATCTGAATAAATCTTGAAGCTAAAGAACCGCCCCCTTATCCCTAAAATTAATCTTACAAATTGAGGCGTTCTAAATCAACTCCCACGAAAGCGACATGAAAAGGAAGGAGAGTTCGGTTATTTCCGGGACTTTACGGTGGTGTTTTAAAGTTTAAATTCGTCCTTCATTATGTTGATGTATCAGACGTCGCAGTTTTGTGACTTAAAAAAATACTATAGGTTGTTCGTCGATATTCGGTGAAGTTTCGTCCTCTGGAGTGGTAGCTGTTAGTAGTCAGGTTTTACTGAAAACGTCACACCACAGGATCGAAAGTTGATAGGCGAGTCTTTGGTGACGTCATTTTTGTTCATTAGCAGACGAGTTAACCCATAGAAGGTGTCGTCGTGTATACAGACTAGGCGTAATCAAGGGTTAGGAAGTGCATGCGAGACCGATCGAAGGTCAGAACGCTCTTTAGCTTTCCTTTGTGTAAGTTTCACATGATAGGAGGTCAAAACGCGCGAGATCATGATGCATTCTATACATTCCATTCATTCTTAATGGAAGTTCAAACAAATGCGGGCTACATACGCGCCGCGCATGCGTCATAGCAACCTGAAGATTAGGATTGCAGTCTCCTCTGGTCGCCCGCAGTTAAGTTGAAACTTTGAAAGGTCTAGTTAATTTGAAAATTTGTGCACTTTTCAGCTGCAAGCAATCTATAAGGAGACAACAGCCATCTAAAACTGCGAAATTGTTAAGTGGCAAAAAAGTAAAATTGCAAACTTCCAGTTTTTAAAAAATAATTTCTCCGAAACTGTTCTGTGTATTGGGTTCAAATTCTCAGAGATACTCATATTCCTGTCTTTCAATATTCAAAATACATTAATGAGGCAAAAAAATGTAAACAAGGATTCGCCTATACAACTTATCAACTTAATGCACGTTTGATCAGGACCTTAAATGATATTGTAAATAATATCAGTAGAGTTAATTTAAAAGGTGTCCATACTCCGTTGTTTTAGCTATTGTCCAGTATCGTTCAAGTCTCCTCGCAGCAGTTTTGTCACACAATTCTCCTCCCCATTACGAGCCAAGCGTGACGAGCCAAAACTGGGCTGCGTGGTAAACTAGTATACCGTGTGGCACGAAATTTTTGCGGTTTTTCCAGCGATCCGTAAAAAAAAGTTCGCGCAAATAAAAATTACCGCAAACATTTTTCCCGCAAAAATTTACTCCAGAGTATATATTCTCCAAGTTAAATTCGCTACACAAAAATACAGTAAGAAATCGTGTCTGTTCAATGACAACTTGTCTCTTTTATTTAGAAACAACGAAATACTGGTTTATTGCTTGAAAATATGTATTTCTATTGCACGTACTCAATAAAAACGAAAATATTATCAATGATGGAACTGGGTACTTTCAGAAAGTCACAAAAATTTATTCCCAGCAAGAAAAACCAATCTGACCTAATCGCAGAAATTAGTTCCCGCAAAACACAAAAAATCGTCAATCCGCAAAAATAAACTCCCGCAAACATTTCGTGCTACACAGTACTTAAAGGATTAGAGAAATTACCTGGGCCTGTCGTTAAGCTTTTTAGCCTCTACAGCGATCGGCATCTAAGTTCTCCTACGAATATTAAGGTGTAGTCAGCCAGAGAGGTAATGAGAAGGTTAGGTTAGGAAGGTTATGATAGGCCAAGATAAATTTTTGTGAACTTGACAGCTTCTCGTTACTTCTTTTAGAAATGTAGGTGGAGAAGAAAGGAGAATTTGTATGCTGTTAGTGGGAGTTAAGTTAACGGGGGGCTCCACTGTGCCAATGCGAGTGGAATTTTCCCCGTGGTAAAGGTTACAGAGTTTAAAAATGGGTACACTCTCGTAGAGCAGTTTTGGTTTAATGTCGAACATCATTTCCTTATGGTCAAGGTTTTGAATTTCAAAAGTTTGCTGTTGGCGAAAAAATCTCGCCCTATTTTCGCA